GCCAATAAAAATTGTGGAACACGATGCTGCCCCCAGATGAATATTTGCTTTTAGGCCCCGACAAACCCACACTTCCTCCCCCCAAACAAAAAAAAGAAAAAAGAAAAAGGTCCTTTTGCCGGGTGCCGTGCGTCTTTTTGCATTTTAAATTGCCTCAAAAACACACTGGCCGGCGATAACTGCTTGTGGACAGAACGAATATTCCGTTTAATTAAAGCTGACCTGGGGCCCATCAGGTGGAGGTAATTGGCCAGGAATAGGACCTCGACGAGCCACATTAGCCGGCAGAAGGTGGTCATGTCCTGGTCGCCTAGATGTGCCGCATAAAAGTCGATTTTAATGTGAATTTCGTGTCGCACAAACGAAATAAATTTCAATAAATTCCGCAAACGAAAGAAGCGAGCGGGCGGGTGGATCTAATAACTTTTAATTAGTTAACCATGTGGAAGTTTTTCGCAGTCAAACTAAAAGCAAATTTGCTGTCAGCGCAGTTTAGTTTTGCTCTTTGCCTTCTGTGTCAGGTCGACAAGTGAATTATTAACGCCTGCCAGGTAAAACCCTCACCTAATACATATACATATATAGTATATCTGAAACCCCCTTGATTCCAACAACCCGCAGGCAGGAAATTTTTTGGCTGCCAGCTTAAGCGTTATAATTAACTGCGACACAAACATTTTCGGCACTCAGTTCGCTTCCTTTGCGAGGAGGCTGTGGGAATATATTTTTGCGGCTCAGGCTAAACCAATTTGCCAGGACTTAAATTTTAAGCATTATTAATGGTTTTGCGGCAGGGTGGGTGAGCAGATAATGCGGATTTTAGTGGGGTAGAAAGTGCGTAACCTTCGGTGGGGTAATCACAGGAAGGAAATCCTGTCCGTCTGCTGAACGTGGGCAAGCAAAACATAATTTGAGTGGCTGACTTTTGGACGTATTTATTTTTCAATCATCCCCTGCAGCGGACAGATATCTAATTTACCATTTTATTGTCGGGGATAAAAACTGTTTGAAGTTCCCAACCAAATGTTAAATTTCTGACTCATCAATTTATTCCAGTTATACTCCTGAATATAAATGTTTTTTCACTATTTTTTCCCTAGTCTCCGGTTCAGAGTGACAGGTTCATAGCTGTCGCAATTCCTGATTCGACGGTCACCAGTCGAGTGTGTCGAAGCCAATGAGCTCGTGACATGAGCAAACGATTAAGGGATATAAATAAAAACATCTGACATTTGCCAGTTGAACTGCATGGCAGCTAACGCCATTGCCCATTTCCCTCAGCGGGCCTAAACTAATTGTTTGCTTTGGGCCAGAAGGCCGGGCCAAACTTTTTCGATTACGAAATTGTTTCGCTGCAGAACGGCCGTCCGGGAGGACGATACAATTTTTAGAAATTTCCATTATCCTTTCGGCATCACGTCGGCGTATGCAAACATTTGCCATTTGCCAAGTTGGTCGAAAGGGATGAGGAGGGACGGACCGAAACTATTCAACAGTCGGTCAGCGTTTTTAGTTTCATTTGCAGGGGCTAAAGCAAAGCGAAAGCAATTTACACGCATTTCGGCGCAAAATGGAACGTGCCCCGCCACTAAAATGTTTATGAGCGCGTACTACGAAATGTGAGCTGCTGGTAAAACGAAGGATTCCGGATTCCGGATTCCCTATTCCGAATTTCGGGGTCAGCAGATGGAAGCTGGTTGGCTGGAAGTGGGGGTGAAAGCGAATTGCCGGAACTCTAAGCCCTGCTTGATGAAATAGAACAGAGCCATAAACCCGAAAAGTGGACGAGGGGCCATATCCTTTATTTTCTTTTTGGTCAGCACAAGTCGGTCAAGAGGAGTTGGGGTCTTAAAATCGTTCATGCCCGAGGGAACCGAATGGGTTCTCTGTTTAGATAGTGTTGCAATTGTTACGCTGCTGCAGCACTTACCCTTTACGATCCCCTCGAATTGTTCATCCCACTCGGCGAGTAGTTGCCTACTTAACAGGGCTCTTTTGCTCTCCTCCAGATTGCTCTGCAATTTGAATTAAGTTTTCTGATTCCCGCTCGAATAGTTTTGTAAGCTCTGCTGCTGCTGCTGCTGCTGCTGCAGCTTAGTGAAAAATTCATGGCGAAATCAATGAAGCATAAAGCCAGAAATATTCATGGAGCATAAATTCCGACTGGACTCGCAATGTCAAAATACAAAAACCGGGGCTTATGGGTGCGATTAAATTGGCAAAACGATATTGCTGCTCTGGACAATTGCACAGCACAATTTGTTGCATATTTTCCAGCGTATTCCATCCGATTTCCATCTCGCAAATATCCTAGCTTTGAGAAATTAACAAAGTTCGTGGAGGAAAAAGGAATGGGGAGCTGCAGTCTGCTGTTCAATCGAGTCGACAACAATCGCCAATTCAACTTGGCCCAACTTTGGATCCAACTTCCCCTTTCCATTGTAAATTGAAATACTTTACCCGGCTAAAAAGTTGCCAGCTTACAAGTTTTACAGTTTCCGTTCAGTTTCACTCGGTATCTGCTCATAATATTTGCTATTAATGGCGCAAAATTTAATTTATGTCACGTCGCAGACGTCGAGGAAATCGCTCGTTTTATTTTCTTGTATTTTGTTTTATTTTATGGCACCAGGCGACCCACTAAAAATATTTTGAAAAGCATTTCGCTGGCTACGTGATGTTCGTCTTAAACTGCAGGATCAACTGGGAGTCACGTGGGCCTGGCTAAATGGTTTCTAGGGTCTCGAGGGTTCCGAAGGGCGAACTTCGATGGCGGGAGTAATGGTTGAGGGTTAAGGGCCAAACAATAGTAAGTTAATCAAAGATGCCTAGGCTCAATGGGTTTCTTTACTTAATTTAAATTTAATTAACATTCCACAGTTTATTGAATAGAATGTCGGTAATAGAATGGCCTTCAAAATAAATATAAGAATAAGTTGAGTTACAACCTAATAACAATTTAATTTTATTTACTTACCTAAAGAATTTCCTAAAGTTAAATGGAACTGATGTTAAAACTATAATAGTTTTTTTTTGACATATGTATAACTTGCTTTTCCCAATAACAATAAATAGTTTGGTAATTGATTTTGGCAACAGAAAGAGTTAAATTTATTGATAGTTGCAATAATAAAGCCATATTTTAATAGGCAATGAAAATAATCAGACGTGAAAGCACTAATTAAAAACGTTTTAAATACTGGTGTTTACCGAAAGAGGTTATAAATTCTCCGAAAGGGTATGCATATTTCCCATACAGCATGGAATTCCCCAACTTTTAATTAAAATAACGGGGAAACTATTATAACTTTTGTGGATGTATAACATAATTTTTTCAGCATTCGCCAAATACTTTTTGAAATGTCTATTTATTCTCAATAACAATAAACAGTTTGGTCTTTTGTTTTGGGATCTGAAAGATTATTAATAAATTGAATAAATCGACAGTCGCATTAATAAAGCGATATTTTAATAGGCAATCGAAATAATCAACCGTTAAAGCACTAATTAAATACGTTTTAAATACTGGTGTTTACCGTAAGAGGTTATAAATTCTCCGCAAGGGTATAAATATTTACCGTGCAGCATTTAATACAGAATATTTAATGATTTCGAGCGCTTTTCTGACAATAACAACAACACTGGGCAATAACCACGGCGGCCACAGAACTCGTTCATAATGTAAACATAAATAACTCTTACGGCGAATCCTTCAACTATGTGGCCTTCTGCGAGGATAAAGCATTGAATCGAAATTGTAAATGAAAATTTTCTGGCATACACGCTTCGGCAATTTATAAATACAAATATGCAAAGCCATAATACGGCAAAAGAGTTGAGGAAACATTTCGCATTTCATGGAAAATTAAATTGCCAATGGTCAAGCCCCGTTCATTCGGGCAGGACAAAAAGCCCAAAGGGTTTTTCGGTTTCGGTTTGGGGATGGCATAGAAGCAATATTGATGGAAAATAAATTCAATTTTTTTTCATCTTTATTTCGTCGGGCACTCGAACAACCCGGCTGCCTTAACTTGTTTGTGTAATCGATTCTCCTTGTTGCCAGAATCCCTCGACAGGACGATGGGTCTTTGCTGATAATTGATAAACGGCGCCAACAGGAGGACCTACCAACCAACCAACCAACCAACCTACCAACTGCCATGGAAATTCTCCGCTCCGATTTAATGTGATTTACACTTCCTCAACCTGTGCCCATGTGTGTGTGTGTTTGCGTGTGTGTGTGTTGTTTCCGTGAGCTTGGGGCAATAAAAATTCCGGCATTCCCTGTCCGGTATCGTTTTCCACTTACCCGTTCTAGTTTTATTGAGATATTCCCCCCGGATTTGTTCACCGAAGAGAGAGAGTTTGCTAAACGAAGATTTTCCTTCCATCGCCTCGCATTAATTGTCGGAGGAGTATAACCTTGACACATGTCTGGCCCCGAGCTTTCGGAAAACTTGTACGCTCGGCTACCTCTCAGCTCCTCCTCCACTTCCTCCTCCTCCTCCTCCACCCCCAGCTCCTCCTTGAACCTCCAACCACCCTGTGGTTTCCTTGGTGGAAACCTCTTCTTAGGGGGCGCATGGAAATGTTCTTATTGCTTTACGCTTCAAGACATTTTCCCACAGTAGTGCTTAATTTAATTTTGCCGCCGTTCTCGCCGCTCGTCTTCTCGCTTTTAGTTTTAGTAAAAGTTTCTTGGGGGCCGCGTCTTGCTTAATTAGCGCTTGATATACTATAACACATGCGGATTGCAACTACTGCACCCCAAACACGGGTCTGTTCTTAAATGGCAAGCCTTAATTTTCGCGGTTCTGCAAAAGTTTTCACTCCGCTCGATTTTACTTAAAACAGTACTCGGCTTTCGGAGATGAAAAATCTCATTATTTGCGGATTACGGTGAAAATAATTCCGAACTCCTCTGAGGATTTTCTCCGATGCGTACGTGAATGTGTAATTTCTTATTAACTTACCCTTTTTCTCTCTCTCTTTTCTTGCAGGCGTGGGCTCGCATTATCTTGAGGAAATGTAAGTAAATTCGAGTATAATATCATAATTTCTGTGGGAGCTTCCACGCAGCGGGCATTTCACACGACCGTCACTGAGTAAATATCTGAATAATTTACCGCCATTCTGGAATATTTGAATTAATTTCTAGTGCCACACATTCGGCGATTCGTTCTAATGGTGCGACGATCTCCGCGGAGCGTCAAAAACAAAAGACTCTAGCCGCGAACTCGCTGATCGTGTTCCATGTTCGGCGAAAGATAATTGCGATCCGCGGCCAAGACTCTCAAATTATAGTCTATAGACTCCGCTGTGCGTTCTCCATTCCTCCAGAGTTTATGGCACTCGACACGCAAGGGGTTGGCCACTTTTCCAACAACCACCCTCCCCACCTCTCACCCTCACTTTTCTGTCTACTAACGAGCGCTCGTATTCATGTACTGACCAAAGTTAATGTGTTTCTATGCCTCGTCGCTCCGCTCCGCTCACTCCCTCCATCCGTCGAGGGGCATCAAAGTGTAGCAGATCGCCGGGGCACTCTTAATGTATCTTTTTGCCTTAAAACATGTTTGTTTTGCCCTGCCTCAGAAAGTCTTTCTGTAACCATCCCAACCTGGGCTGGGTCACTGACCACAGACAAATTCGAACAACAGTTAACGCTGCCTATCGACGCCGTCCAACCTGGACCCGAGCTCCCATCGAGCTCCCCATCCCCTCCCCCCATCCTGTCCACATGTAGCACACGTTTTTCCAGCTCCAAACACCCGACAAACTGTTTTTGTTTGCCCGATCAGTTAGCGCCGAACATTCCGCCACGGCTGAATGAATGAGTCTAGCCTGAAAATCTTGAAAGTGTGAGCTGAGGACTGTGTATCCAGACAGAAGCTGATAGGATTTTTTCAATATAAAATGGATTCTCTTAAAGAGTTCAAAACATATAGCAGGAAGCTTACCAAGCAAGTATTTTGGTTTTACTTTTTTTAAAGATATATAATCTTGACATTGTGTAGTACACAAGTAATTAAATTCAAGTAAACTAAACAACTACGTTTAGTATGACTGTTTTTAATAATTTAAAACTGAGTTTTTGTATGCTTTAAAGAAAACTTTTATTTTGTATAAACACGGGCCACGTTAATTGGTATAAAACGTTTTGTTAATTACCTTTATGTTAAAGTGTACTTATGTACATATTTATACATATAAAATAATTGTTAATTACCTTTATGTTAAAGTGTACTCATGTACATATTTATTCATATAAAATATTCAACTATTTTATTTCTATAATGAAATTAGCTTGTAAGCATGACAGCTTAGTGGTTAGGAAAAATAATTTGTTTGCCAAATCAAATAAAAAAGTTTTTTCAATAAAACGATAGTTGAACAGTCGGTTTCCCGCATAAAAAAAATATCCGAAATTACATTCATATTCCCGAAATTTATTGGTGCTTTTTATTTACCTCCTGTATTTATTACCTAAATAACGCGATCCAATTAACAGCATCCGCTCGCTTTGTTGTCGCATTGGCCCAATAATTACAGCAGATTCGCTTTTATTGTTTCGCCTAATCTCTTTGTTTTTGGTCGGAACAATTGATAAATTAAAGGTGATTAATTATAGGGCCAACTGACGGAAGCCAGGCGGCCAGCGGAGGGACTTCCAGTTAAGTTATCCATCTGACAGCGGGTGGTAAATGGTAGATGGTAGATGGTAAATGGCAAATGTTTGCGTTCGAGCCCGGCGTAATGCATTAAACTGCTCCGGTTGTGTTGGCAAATGTTTTAATTTGCTTTTGTGGCCTAAACCCACCGACTTCCCCTCGCTTCGCCTCTGCGGCGGGGATTTTGTGGCGGCAAATGCGAAAATGTTTGCAACTGCCCGAGCAAAGCTGAAATTGAGACCGAATTTATTTTTTGAGCTCGTGAATGAACGGAATCTCCATCAAATTGTCTGCGGTGGGGAAAACTGGTGGGAAATGTGTTTTATATTTCTGCAATTTAGCAGAAATATTCGCAAGTGCTTTGCCCAGCTTGAAGGGCCATCAGCTGCTGGGCTGCGTTTTTAAAGAGTTTAGACATTTTCAACTTTATGTGCATCATCCAGATCCTTTTTCCGCAGCTCCTGCAGTCTGTACGTGCGAAAAGCAAGGAGTTTAGTACGTGCTTGAAGCCCCAAAAACGGCAACAAGTCGGACATTAAATAAACAATTTATTCTGCCATTTCATGCGATTCTCAACTTGCGAAACTTCTAATCAAAATGGCAGAAAGTATTTTCATTTCATTTGCGGCTTCAGATCGGTTTTTTGGGGCAAACTTTCGTTGCCCGCAAACGAGTCAACAAACCAGTGAAAAGTTGATTAAAGTTTTCTGTCAATACAACATACTAAATTAATAATGCGAAATTAACAAAAGTTTTTGCCACCGCCTGGAGGAAAACGAGTTTTCCCGGTCACAACGGATTATATAAGCAGCCGATATTAGCAAATAGTTAGCTATTCAATTTGGGCGTGAACGTCACGAAACCAGTGTCGATTGGCTAGGATTTCGATTCAGTTTCGGATCGGAGGCAGATAAAATTAGCTGGCTGTCCGTTCACCGCAGCTGCGAGTGGCCTTCAAGTTCGACTTGGGCCAGAATCATTTCGGTTCTGGCCAGGGAAATATAATCGAGTGGCGATGAAAACCCCAAGCCAGAGTTCAAGGCATAAATGGGGGGAAAAAGGCGAATATATTTGATTTTTGTTGTTTTTTTTTTTTGTGAAGCCAACCCGCGAAACGGTAAACGAAAAGAGCCAAAGAGCCAAATAGCCAAAGAGGAACTCTTTCAATCAATTGCCGCTGCTGTTGCAGCTGGGAGAGCAATCAACATTTGCGGTGCGCGAGGAGCAGCAGAAACTAGTTTGACTGGTTGACACAGTTGGTGGTGGCCAGTTGCCTGGATACCGGGACGGGGGAAGTGGGAGAGAGGGGATGCCACAAGGGGCAGCCAGTTGGCCAGGCTAAAAAGTAGTTTATGGGCGCACAGTTTTGCATTCTGCTGCTGCTGCCGCTGCCGCTGCTTTTGCTGCTTCTCTGCTGCTTTTGCTGCTGGAAAGCCAAAGAAAGGTGATGAAAACGCAAAACGAAAGTCAAGAAGAAAAGAATGCAAATTTTCCCCCAACACGGATGGCAAATGATGAGTTGCACCGACAATGACGCTGGATGTTGCACTCTGACTTTTGTGACTGCAACTTGCAACTTGCCACTTTGGCTGCTGACTGCTGACTTTGCTTCACCTTTTGAAGCGAAAAATGGCTCATTAGCTATTCGCTCCGGGTTTTCCACGAGGTTTTCTGCCCGGTCACGGACACTGCTGGCCCTGTTGCCTAATTATAGCCACTTTCGCCTGGCTAATTGTCTGCTCTGTCATGGTGAAATTCATCAATGCCATCGCTGCTCTTTTGCGGAGGCGTTTGCAGCGACCTTCCGACCCGACCTGACCTGCTCCTGATTTATACATTTCTTTTTCGCCCTGCTGATGCTTTTGCGTCTGTTCTGGTCGGCTGCACTTTCTATTTTTCACATAAAGAAATCACTGGGGAAATATGACTAGAAAATCTAGTTTTAACGAGTCGAACCATTAAAAAATAGAATGTCAAGAGTCGGGTAAGACGAAATAGAAATGTCCAATTAAATCTCTAACGAGGCCTTGAGGTCTTCAGGAGTATAGAAACACTAAATCCATGAGCATTGGAAAATAAAACAGCACTAAAATAATACGTTTGCAAAACACCCAAATAAAACGTATGCAATTTCAAATGCATTTTATAACAAAATTGTCATTAATTGAAAAATTTGCAGAGATTTTAAGCCTCTCAATTTGGTTTTTAAAAGCATGCCAGTAAAAGTGTTAAGCTTAGGATAGTTGTCCAAATATATTTTAATGTTTTTTCCTAATATTTGTTCGTATATTATTATTTGGACCAACCTACAAACCAACTATTTGACCCACTATTCCTAATTTATGCAGCATTTTACTGATATTTTTGCAAGTGTGCAACACTTTGCTATGCTCTCATTTCTCCTGGAGACGTTACTAATTGGTCAGCAAAGCAGCAGGCACTTTGTCCGCCTGGCGAGCGTTTCTCTGGCTCATAATAAATTTAGTTCACTTAAAGTGTTGATTAGACGGAATTATATTCGAGTTTCTGAGCAAAAGTTGAAGGCCCCACGCCTGAGCAGAGTAATTGCAAAATAAATTCAAGCACTCGGCGCTTCACTCGGCCCATTCCCCACTTTAATTTTGTGAATGCCACCACAGGAAAAGCTCGGGGATTCGAGGAGTTAAGCCGCCCGGAGAAGAGCCTCGTTTATGCACACATGCCCGTGCACTTGAAACTGCCAAAGGCAGTCAAATAACTGCACCTTTGCCAGGACACCTCCCCCTTCCTCCATTCCGATCCTTCCGAGTGCTCCATCCTCGCATGGCTGCCATTAATACAAATGCAGATAGCGGCAGCCATTTTGTCCCGCAGCGCTTTGACAGCTCTTCAGCGGGTCCCCAGTCCTGCAGTCCCACAGTCCTGCAACCTCCTGCAACATCCCCCTTTGCCCCCATCCTCCAACACCCTGCACCGCTTGGTGCCTCCATGCCCTCCCTGTCATCGTGCTCCTCTGGTATTGCCCGGAGTTATGTCTAAAGTTGATTCACGCCGCACAAAGGAGTTACCCCAGTGATGTCGGCGATGTTCGTGCATTAATTAAATGTGATTTTCGCATATTGTTGCCCATGTTTGCCGGAGTTATTTTTTGCAATTATCATCATCATCAGGATTTCCTGAGCGAGGCGCACTCAGAAAAAATTATGTACTTAAAACACTTAAAATATATGTATGCATATTTTGTGTAATCCTTTTTTTCCTTAGCAAGAAAAGTTTTTTTCTGCTTACTCATATTTTGTTCGTTCACACCCAATTGTTATTTATATTCAAAAGACTATTTTCGATCAACACTTATTTATATGCAATGCTGTTTTTATT